CGGGGCGGGGGTCCCCCCGTGTCTCACCTCAGGCCGTGGCCGCTCCCGGCGCCTCAAACTTCTTCTTGCGCCCCTCCATCCCGCTCAGCGCGTCCACGTTCTTCCGCCAGTCCCCGACCTCCCGGCTCTCCTGCCCCGCCCACCACGTCATGGCGTGCCCCGGGCCACCACGCCTACCCCGCCCGGGCCACGCCCCATACGAGGACACGCCCATCCACCCCAGGACACGCCCCTGACAGGGGCCACGCCCACTCCAGCGGGACACGCCCCCCCCGTCCAGGCCGTGCCCATTCCAACCCAGCCATGCCTACGCACTCGGGACACGCCCCTCAAGCGATACCACGCCCACCCAACTTAGGCCTCGGCCATGCTGCTCGGGACACGCCCCCTTACCGAGGTCATGCCCACCCAACTTAGGCCACACCCACCATGCTCAGGCCACACCTACCCACTCAGGATGGGCCCCTCAAACGAGACCACGCCCACCCCACTCGGGACACGCCCCTTAAGCAAGGTCATGCCAGCCCCACAGGCCGTGCCCACCCACCCACATTAGGTCACGCCCACTGTGCTTGGGACACGCCTCCATATAGCGGCCACGCCCAGCCCCTCGAGTCACCTCCCTCAAGCACTGCCATGCCCACCCGGGAAAGGCACCTAACACAGGCCACGCCCATTCCACCCTGGCCACGCCTACCCACTCGGGACACAGCCCTCACAGGAGACCACACCCATCCGACTCGGGACACGCCCTTTAAGTGAGGTCATGCCTGCCCCACTTAGGACATGCCCCCTACAGGCCACACCTATGCCCTTGGGACACGCCCCCCTTACCGAGGCCACGCCCACCCAGGTCACACCTGCCTCCATATAGTGGCCACGCCCACCCCGCTCGGGACACGGCATTTAAGTGAGACCACACCTGTCCATCTCAGGCCACGCCCCTCAAGTCAGGCCACACCCATCCCACTCAGAACACGCCCTTTAAGCAAGGTCATGCTCTGGGGACACGCCCCCTTACAGAGGCCACGCCCAGCCACATTAGGCCACGCCTACCCACTCAGGACGCATCCATCACGCGAGACCACGCCCGTCCAACTTTTGCCACACCCATCCCACTCGGGACACGCCCTTTAAGTGAGGTTATGCCTGCCCCACTTAGGACATGCACCCCCCACAGGCCACGCCTATGCCCTCGGGACACGCCCACCCAACTTAGGTCACACGTGCCTCTGTATAGTGGCCACGCCTACCTCCTCGGGACACTCCCCTTAAGCGATGCCATGCCCAAGCACTCGGGCCACACCCACCCTATTTAGGCTACGCCCATCCCACTTGGGACACGCCTGCTCAAGCTAGGACACGCCCACCCAAATTAGGCCACACCCACCCCCTTGGGACACGCCCCAAAGAGGCCACGCATATGCCCTCAGGACACGCCCCTTAGGTGAGACCACGCCCATTCAACTTAGCTCACGCCCACCCTGGTCAGGACATGCAGCCATATAGTGGCCACGACTACCCGCTCTGGACATGCCCCTTATGCGAGGCCACGCCCACCCCACCTGGGACACGCCCTTTAAGCAAGGCAATGCTTGTCCATCTTAGGCCACGCCCCTCAACTCCGGCCACGCCCACCCAGCTTAGGTCACACCTGCCCCACACGACCCCCTTCAGCGGTAACGCCCACCTCGTTCAGGACACGCCCTTTAAGCGAGGTCGTGCCTGCCCCACTTGGGACACACCCCCACAGGCCATGCCTATGCCCTCTGGACACGCCCCCTTACCGAGACCACGCCCACCCAACTTAGGTCACACATGCCTCCATATAGCAGCCACGCCTACCTCATCGGGACACGCCCCTTAAGCGAGGCCATGACCTTCCCAATGGGGACACGCCCCCAACAGTGGCCACGCCCAAGCACTCGGGACATGCCGCTTAGGCCACGCCCACCCCGACTGGGACATGCCCCCTTAAGCAACATCATGCCAGACCCACTTAGGCCACCCGTATGCCCTCGGGACACACCCCCTTACCGTGGCCACGCCCACCACACTATGGACACGCCCCCTCTCCGCGAGACCACGCCCACCCCGATTGGGACACGCCCCTTAAGCGAGGTCGTGCCAGACCCCCTTAGGCCACGCCCGCACCCATGGGACATGCCCCCATACAGCAGCCACACCTACCTGGTCGGGACACGCCCCTTATGCAAGGCCATGCCCACCCTGTTCGGGATACGCCCCAACACAGACCACACCTAAGCACTCGGGACACGCCCCTTAAGCGAGACCACACCCACCCAACTTAGGTCACGCCCTCCCCGGTAGGGACATGCCGCCATCTAGCAGCCACACCTACCCGCTCTGGACACGCCCTTTAAGTGAGACAATGCTTGTCCATCTTAGGCCACGCCCCTCAAGTCCAGCCACGCCCAGCCAACTTAGGTCACACGTGCCTCCATATACTGGCCACGCCTACCCACTCGGGACACGCCCCTTAAGCGAGGTCTTGCCAGACCCACTTAGGCCATGCCCACGCCCTTGGGACACGCCCCCTTAGGTGACACCACGCCCCCTAAATTAGGTCACGCCCACCCTGCTCAGGACACGCCCCCATACAGCAGCCACGCCTACCCGCTCGGGACACACCCTTTAAGCAAGTCCACGCCCCTTATGCAAGGACATAAACAGCCCCACTTAGGACACGCCCACCCCCCTCTGGACACGCCCCCTTACTGAGGCCATGCCCACCCAACGTAGGTCACGCCCCATCGCGGTTAGCCACGCCCCCGTGTCCCCGTCCCACCATATCCCGCGTCACCCACGTGTCCCCACCTTCTCGGCGTCGTCCTTGCGCACTTGCCGCAGCCCCGCCCGCAGGTCGGTGCCCACGCGGTGCTTGGACCCCAGCAGTGCCGCCATCATGGCGTCAGCCGACAGCCGCACCCGCCGCAGCGCCGGCCGCACGAACCGGCCCCCGGCCACGCGCCGGCGCCG